TTGGGTAGTACTGGGGACCGGGGTGCTTGCTGCGTTCAGACCCAGAGCAGCTTCTGTGCGTGCCTAGGCCGGAGCTGACAGGACCAGCATTATGGAGAAAGTTTAAAATAAATAGTTGGTTTTCCCTCGGACAAAAGCAGCCGCCTTGGTGCTGCGGAAATTTGGGCTTTGTGTTTGTGTAGCAAAGTAGCTTGTTGGGGAAAGTCTCTGGTTCGTTAGCGCACCCCAGAAGCCAGGCTGTTCTTTAATATGAGCACGACAAATTAAGTCCTCCGTTAACAACCTGAGCGCAGCTAATACAAATAATTAATAAGTCATGAGAAAAATAAAGGCAGCAGTTGTAATCCAGGCTCAGAACAGGAACAGTGAATAATCAGGGTGCCATCAATACGTTCATAGCTCTGCTTGCCTCCAGATCAGCCACTGTACAAATGAGAACATGAACATTAATAAAGGTTGCGTTTAATGCAAAAGGACAAGGCCACTGCCAGTATAACCAATAAGAGATCTTAATAATAAAAATAGGTAGCATTTATTTCCCTGATGTATGTGATCCATGCTCAGTTCCACACCATCAGTTTAAAAGTGTATGAACAGATCATTTTGAATCTGGGCAGAGCGCCAGGGGTACGCTATGCTAATATATATCTATCTTTTATTAAGAGTCCTTCCTGGGTTTTAGATAGGCTGTGTAATTGCATGCTATCTAAGGAAGAGGGACTAAAGATCACCAAGGAAAAAAGACTGACAGGGAGAAAAGGCAAGCAAGAAAAAAAGCAGACCTGAAGAAGGCAGAAACAAATGGTTGTGTGGGGGGGAAGAGCCTGCCTGGTAGCAGTATGACATGCTGGTTTACACAAGACATAAGGCACTCAATCCTGCCTCTGTTCAGGCTCCTCAGAGATGAAAGAGCCTGAGACCAAATGGATCTCGCAGCGAGGAACAATTGCAGCTTTGAAGGGCTTCTCTAGCACGGGGGTAGCAGTGTTGCCAGAATTTGGGGCCTTTGTGTTTTCTGGCCAAATCTCAGAATTCACCTTGCTGTGCAGGGAAGCACAGGCCTCTCATTTCTGAATTTCTGAAAATTACAGAAGAGCTCATGGCAGAAGTGTGAAGTCCTTGTGACTGCTCCAGGCACAAGCAGCAGTGGAACATGTGACACCGTAACTCAGTGACAGAAGCCCTGGGATCTCTCCTCTCAAAATCCTTTAGCTGCTTTAACACAAACACCACCCTTGAGCACATCGTCTTTCCAATCTACTTGCAAGAAAGTTGCTGCAAGTATCACTATGCCTTGGTGCCACTTTGTACTGAAAACTTCACCTTTGCTTTCACATCTCTGGCAGGTGTGACAGTTTCTGAGCTGCCACTGCAGGTGAGAAGACACATCCAGCCTGCTTTCTGCTTCACCAGAAGCTGTTCTCTCAAGGTGCAGATAACGGAGCTGGTGTTTCTGCAGATCAGCATAATTGGGAGATAGTTTCATAAACTGGGGCTTCATCCCACCCCACATTTGATGGAAGGGGTTGTACAACTGCATATCTGCAACCACCCAGACACACACGTCACTCCTCGCCTGGCCAAGGTGCAAGATGAGAGTCCAGCAAGCAGCTTAGTCTCTGGATCCTGGGAAATGCAGAGAGCTTGACAGCTTCTTCAGCAGAGCGTGGGTGCTTCCATCACCCTGTGCTCTGGAGATGTGTGCTGGCAGCTGTAGGGGTCGGAAGCCTGGAAAGAGAGAGGATAAATGGATGAAGTACAGTGAAAGCATGCACAGATGAGGAATGAAACTGTATCCAGGACTGTGTTAGCATTTACACAGCCTAGCTTCCCCTAGAGCTACAGGCCATTCAGTCATGTGCAGATGCACCTGCTCCTGCTCTAACATGGCCATGGTGCCAACAGTTGATTTTATTTTGCTTGAAGTTGTTGGGAGGTAAAATTATTATAGACACTTTAGGAACCAGATCCTAATCCTGGCAGCTAAATCTAGCCTAGTGTATGATTTCTGAATACAATGTGTATTATCTGGGTTATTGGTAAGGTCCTATGTTGTCCTAATGTACCTCTTTTCACAAGAGTTTTTGATTTAAAGTGCCTTATTTATGAAAGTTAAGGAAGAAGGTAAGAAACACAAAAGTACCCCTTTTCACTGTCAGCCCTCTTTTTGGTAAGGCCAGGTGGTAATTTTCTTGCCAATGACACATCAGAGTTGGGACTTCAGGAGGGGAAAAACTAGCCCCGGAATCATGTCCCAGAGCACTGGGAGGTGCACACCTACAAGGGGTGAAGCTAGTGCTGCTGGCCTGGCAGGCAGGAGGCAGACCAAGGCCGGGTGCAGACACTGACAGACTGAGCAGCTGGAGTTACAGGGCGCTCAAGAGCCTGAAGAACCAGACACTGAACTCAGTGTGGTAGAAACTACAGGACAGAGGGGTGTCATTGTGCTGTTAATCACACCCTTTCCCTGTCTCTGTCCCTTACAGGTGACTTTGCAGCCTTGTGTCTTGGCTTCTGACTGAGAGAAACCGTGTTCTCAAAGTCTCTCTCTGGGGCTGCACGACCCCACTGCTTGGGGAGATTACTCTGGATTTACAGTTTCTTTTCTTGGGCAATGCAGGGAAATAAGGTGCATTATCTGCTGCCTAAAAGGGACCTGGATTGCAGAATCACAAGGGGAAGAGACAGGGTGAGTCAAGAGATAATGCCAACATTAAAAGATAAAATGGATTAACATCTCCCTGCACGCAGAAAGCTGCGTGGGTGGAGCAAGAGGTTGCAATAGCAGTTTAAAAGGGGATGAGACAGCTGGACATCCTCGTATTTTTCTGTTAAAAAAAAGAAATCCATCCCAAAAGCTGAGCTTAGCTGATGCTATCCTCCAAAGTCCACATCAGTCAGCCAGGCCGGCTGTCCGCAGTCAGGAGGTGTAAGGACAGCCTGACTAACAGACCCTCCTGGCTGACCTACACAGGGCTATAACGCAGCTGATTTTCACCTGCAGGCTCCAGCAAGACATAGCAAAAGTGATCCATGGGAAATAGCTCACAATCATATATTTCCATTTCTAGTTCAGCCTGGGATTTCAGCTTTAACGACTCTTGAGACAAACGAGGCCATGCACTGCTTGCCCAAGGCAACTATTCCAGCATGTCTGTAGGGTGACACGAACTGTGGTGGAGGGCCTGTTTAGGATGTGATTAAAGAGGCAATTCTCCCTCCCCGTGCAGATGAGATCTAAGCATGGCTTAAGTAAATTACTGAATGGCTTGTTATAGCCCTGGCTGCATTCCCTTGCTGCACGGGGCCTGGTTTTTTACATCCAATTTGCTTTGAAGCCCAGAGTGTCACAACAGCATCCCGACACCTGCATCTCTGTGCTTGCCTGACACCCCTTCTCTGGAAGATGGGACCCCGGGGACCCACTGCGGATGGCTCTGAGGCGCAGGCTAAGCCCCATCAGTTTTCCTAATAGTTTCTGATGTTCATTCCCTGAAAGCTCCCCCCTCCTGACGGTGCTGGTCCATGGTTTGATCTTCAGGGACTAGCTGACTGAAAGCCAGAAGCACTTTGCTCTCAGCTAAAGAATTTTTAACAGAAGCACGCTTTATTCACAGCGTGGCACAGAAGAGTGTACAGACCTCAGGGAGGGTAACAACGCCAAAAGCCCTCTTGTTTCTACCCCTGGTCTTCTATACCCTCAAGATCTGTGTCCTGGAGAGGACCTCAACCCCTCCAGCTCCCTGCTCCCCCACATCACAGACCGAGCTCTGGCCTTTGGTTTGTCATTTGTATGAGCCATTTTTCTGTGGAGTTTAAAATCAGTTCTAGCACCTTGTGGTCTTTCACCCCATCTCTTGGCATTTTTCCATTCACACCCCAGGAGGACTGGCCCGAGGGGCTCAGCTCGTAGCCTCCGTCGTCCTGCCCCGCGCTACCGTTCAATCTAGTAACGGCCCCACTTCAGCTTCTCTGACATTGCCCGGTTCTTGCCGTAAAATGGAAGTGTAATCCTCTCTGAAGGCTGTGGCGCATGCAAGGACTCAAAAGAGGAATGGGACCCGTACCTGTGAAACAGACCTGCGCCGCCACGCCATCAGAACAAAGAACGCGCGCTACAGCGTGGCCTTACAACGGCGGCCCTTCGCACAGGCCATTTTGGAGTGCCAAAACCCCACGACGCTGCCACGGCACCTCACATGCCCAAGAGAGAGAGGCAGAAACTTCGCTCGCTTGTCATTAAAACAGCTCCTCGGCACGCGGTGGAGGCGGAGAGGCGGCATTTGCTCAGGCATTTGCCGTGCCAAAGCTCCGCGGGAGCCGCCGCCAGCACAGCCAGCCTGCCGTGCCCTGCTCCGGGGGAGAGGGGGGCCCAGCCAGCTTCACCCCCGCCGCGAACGGGCGTGCGCCGGCCACAGCCACCCGGTTGCCGAGGGATGCCGGGGCGCGGTGCTCGGGCCCTGTGGCCGCCCGGGGACGGAACGCTCCTCCCGCGGCCGCGCGTTCCGGGGGAAGGAGCCGCGCGCGGGACACTGGCGCCGCCATCATGGCGGCCTGAGGCGCGGCGGGCACGGCGCCGGGAGCCGCAGGGCGGGAGGCCAGGCGGGGAGGCCGTGAGCTGAGAGGTAACGCCGGGGGAAGGGAGGAGCCGCCAGCCCGCCCTTCCGCGCACCGACCCTTCCCCGCTCCTCGGCCGTGCCCCGGCGCTGCTCGGGCGTGCGGCTCCCCGAGCCCTGAGAGGCGAGCGGGGACCGGGGTGGGTGGTGAGGGGCGAGAGGGCCCCGCGGCGGGACCTCGGGTAAATCACCCTCCTGCGGCGGGGCACGGCTCCCGGCCCGGCGGGGCCCGAGGGCCCTGCCGGGGGTCTGTGGGGACGGGAGGGTCGCGGGGCCTGGCCGCCTCCCTCCTGTGGGGTCTGCGTGAAGCTTCCCGCCCTGAAACCCCTTCAGGTACCTTAGAAAGGCGGCAGCAAGGCGTGACTGAGGGGAGAAACCCGGTTTATCCCCGTGTGTGGGTGGTTGTAGCCTTTGGGCAAGCTTCGTTGAAGTGTCTCGCGTTTGTATTTCAGTCGCTTCTCACCAGGGTAAGTCGGTTGTGGAAAGAGCAGCGAGGTAGTGCCGGTGAACACGGTTGTGCAGACCGGTTGCAATAGCAACGCAGTTGTCTGAACGTTAACTTGGAAAGAGGCAAAGAACTGGCATTCCTTTCCTAGCAGGGCATGGATAAAGCCAACCAGTCTTTTGTAACCTCATACACCAGCATGTGTTTTGATTACCTGTCAGGGAGGACAATAACTCGGGAACCATGAAATCTGGATTTCATTCCCAGCTCAGTCACTTCATGCGCTCTCTTGAGAAAATTGTCAGTCCTCTGTGTCTGTTCCTTATCTGTGAGCTGGGAGATCAGTACTGATGTACCCTCAGGTGTATTAGGAAGCCACAGTGAGTCTTAGTGTATTGCAGGGATTTCTCGGTCCAAACTGAGGTACTCTTCAGTCAGGCTGTACATGTGCCTTTGATGAAAAGAATCCCAAAGAGACTTTACACTGAGAACCGAGAAATCTTTGTGTGGAGAGTGCAAAAGATTGCCTGCTCAGTTTGGGACCGTTTGTACCTGCAGGTGTAATGGAATAGACTAACGTGTATTTTTAGAAGTTGACTAATACAGGAAGCTGGCTGCATTGCCTTCGCAAGTCTTGATTTGGTTAGGCATGGTAAAACAGTGCAAACACCTGTGTGACTGTACTACCCCCACAAGGGCAGATGTTGTCCCAGTGGTCACACAGAATGAGACAGGTTCTCTGGTGTTTGGTTTTCTTCACCAGAGTAAAGGTTACATGCTATACTTGATAATTATCCCATACAAATATAACACAAAAAACCCCTTATCTGCTAAATTCTTTGGTGTCTGAATAATACGCTTTGGAAGTTTTTTCTTAGTTGTTTGTAAACAAACAACTTGTTTTGTTGAATTTGTTAATAAACAGTGTTTTGCATTTCAAAAGCAACATGTGGGTGCTGGGAGACAACATGCACACCAGAAATGTCAGGCAACAGCTAAAGACAAAGAACCTCTCTTCACAGGGACTGAAATAGAGCCTTTGTAGAAAGGGTATTTTCATCACTTAAGCTTTCCAGTTAACCCAGAACACTTTAACTGTACAGTGTAGACTAGTAAGCTACTTAGAGGCCACAGTTCTTTTTGCCTTTTAGGATCAGAAAGCAACAGGAATTATATATGTACGCTTTGTCTATAGCTGATGTCAAAGGAAAAGGTACGATGTATGGGCCTGCAAGGTGGATCAGTTCTTCACAGAGAATTAAGTTAGTTGCTGGTTTGAAGCTATGTGATGAGGAAGGAGGAAGTCTTAGCTGGCCTCTAATAGATGTAATAATAAACACCTTTGCAATTGGCATTATTTGGCAGCATCAGTAGAAGGAATAGTCTGAAAAAATCTAAGCTCCTTTCCTACTAGCAGAAGTAGATCCTTTTAGGGAATTGACCAGACAGTCTGCAGAAATTTTGCTCAGATACTGCGTGAATCATTATTGCTCCCCAGGTAAATCAGCAGTTGAACCTGCTGGGTTCCTGGCCTGCCCTCTGAATGCTGAAGAAAAACCTGGCTCTGCCGACACCAAAACGTTACTATGCTGAGCGTACCTGCTCATCCACCGCCAGACAGAATTCAGCAGAGAAAGGATGTATTAATATCATGTTCTTTTATTGACAGATTGAAAACCTAGAATGGCAGGAGAGCAGAAACCATCCTGCAATCTTCTAGAGCAGTTTATTTTACTAGCCAAAGGTACAAGTGGCTCAGCTCTGACTGCTCTTATAAATCAAGTGCTGGAGGCTCCTGGGGTTTACGTCTTTGGAGAACTATTGGAGTTAACAAATGTGCGAGAGGTAAGAGATGAGTTTCTATCCTAATACCCCTTCTGCACTCCTGGTATAAGGAATCCCTAGAAGTTTCCACAGACAGCTTGTGCATGAAATTTCTGTGCTAGGAAGGGCCTGGTGCAACTTATCCTGGCTCTGAGAGGTTTGCGTATGAGAGATTGACGTTGCTTTTGCCTCTATGTATTAGATGTTAAAAAATACCTATATAAAGCTTTGCTACCTTAATGCAATTGCTAATACAGCAAAAACCTGGCAGCAGCACAGTAACAATTTTAAGAAGGCACCTAGCCAGCCAACAACGAAAAAAATCCCTTTCTACTGCTTCGATGTCCTGGAAAGCATAACTTCAATGCTCTCCAAAAGCCTTCATGAACAGACGTCTAGTGTATCAGGCCTGGGTGGTAACCAAATCCAAACCATTTCAAACCAAGGTGGAAAGTGAGTTCCAGAGCTTTTACTGAGAACGCCTCGCCAGCACCCCCCTCTGCTACAATGAGAGAATCTAGGTTGAGTGTCTCTGCAGCTGGGGTAGTGTGGCTTACAGCAAGTCTTGCTTTCCAAACGGGCTCTTAGATATGCTGAAAAATGCCTCTATGGTTATTCAGCATCAACTTGCAAGTACTGTTTTTTTTCCTGGATCTGTGTGCAGCAAATGGTATTAAAAAAAACAAACCAACACTCAATAAAAATCACTGCTTGGTGCTGCAGTTATTCCAGTGAAGTGTTTGCATGTGAGAGGAGTGCTATTACTTTCAAATACACTCCACTTAAAATATTCTAGCTTGCTTTGCTTTGAAGTTTTTGTGCCTCTGCAGGTAAGCTGTCTCAGTTTTCCCAGTAATGGCAAGGATGCTTAACCAACCAACACCATTGCCTGCTTCCTTGTCACTTGATGAGAAGAGCTGGCCCTGTAGGATGTCAGCTGAAATTAAGAGTTGCCTTTTTCTTTTACCTCCTAAGGTGTCGCACAAAGCAGTTGACAGTCCAAACTGTAGTTAAGTTCTGGTACATAGAAATGGCTGGATCATCTTGACTCTAAAACTGCTGAAATTTGCTGCTGCTCAAGAGGCCTCGCAAAGGGTTCAGCTCTTTAAGATTGGGACATAATTGCTCTTCTGGGTACTGCTTGCACTATGTAGACTTAAAACATTCTCTGGAGAAGTTGCCTACTGGGGTTGTGTTGGCTGTTACCGTGTTACATGGAATTTCTTTTGTTTTCTTCCTATCCAGCTTGCTGAAGGGTCTAATGCTGCTTATTTCCAGTTGCTGAACCTGTTTGCATATGGAACATACCCAGACTATGTCGGTAAGAGACTGCCGCCTGTTTGCAGAGTACAAGACTGCTTTGCCTTTTAGAATTGCCAGAGGAGTTCTTTGCTTTCTGTGGTACCTGGTGTAGTGTGGCTGGGTGAAAGTGTCCAGGAACAGAATTTGCCTGGGAGGAGAATTGCTCATAGGGGTTCTCTGGGTCATATGTGCTTTTTAATTGCTGAAATGTGGAGGAAGGGCTAGAGACTATGGTGGTTTACTGGTTTGGATTGGACTGCAGCACTGGATGGAATTGGTCTGTAGCAGGGTTCATTGATGTTCGCAGGCCACTTACCTCTGCAGAGTGCAATTTCAGACATCTGTTTTGAAATTTAGATGACGCCGGTTATGAAAGCTGCAGAAAACTTAGACAAAATTGTTCTGCATTATTTATAAAAACCTATATAGTTTATGGGATAACCTTTTATTTTGTTATGGCATTGCTGAAACAAAATGAAGCATTTCTTAGCTAGAATACAAATCGAAATAATGACTTTTATACAGCTTCAGAAGGACTATGTGTGAATCATCTTACTATCTGTCGAGGTGTGCTTTTATCTCTGGTGCTTATGCTTCCATTCTGCTACAATTGAATACTTCATTTGTGAGTAGCAGCCTAATCCAAACCATTACAGAGTGTAACATAATTCTGTCATACTGCTGGCTATCACTGTGGTGGATAAGCTATCTAGTTCCTGTAAGGAGAAATGGCATCTGTAAGTGCAAGGACTGGAAATTCCAGTGGCTGTGGAACAACATGAGCCTCATGAATTCTGTGACTGATTAGAGCATGTTTGCTGTGCATGAGTCTTGCGTCCCAGCATGTGACAATGCAGCTCGTTCTTCCTTTTCTAGTGAAGAAAGAGAAAGGGGGAAAAGTAGTCAAAATGTAGAGCATTGAGGTGGGATGGATGGGAGAACTTGAGTGGCCCTGAAACACTAATTTCCATTAAAGCAGATATTTTAAAGAGTTTCTTTGCTTTGGAAAGCTGCCAGTTTCCTTTCTGTTTTTAAATATTCATGAGGCACATGGATGACAGTGAGGCCATCTAGATTAATAATTTCTCCTCTCTTCCTCAGCCTGGTACTTTACACTTTCAACCCTAAATTCTGCAGCTCTTCAGAGAAATAAAACATTTACTGTATTTACAGCCAGATGAGCAAAGGGGCAAGATTTTATTCTGTCAGCTTGTTAATGAAATAAAAATGACTTGGTGGTAGAAACAAAGCATTGACCAACTGTTTTGGTAGGACATCACTTGTGTAGATGTGAAGTATGTTCTAATTCCAAAACTAGAATTACTAAAGAAGCAGAGAAGAATGGAATTGCCAACTTGTTTTTTAACTTTTCCCCTCTGTCCCTGGGTGTGCTAATCTGTCAGCAGCAGCAGCTCTCTCTGCTCACCAGCACCCACAGTAGCTGGAAGAATTCAGCCTTTCGGGGTTTGGTGTAGTATAACTAGCCTGAAGTTCTGCAGCCTGGATTACATAATCCTTGAAGGAAAGTCCTGAATCTTGTCTTTTTAACATTAACAGCAAACAAAGATAACCTGCCTGAATTAACAGTGACTCAGAAGAACAAGCTGAAACACTTGACGATTGTAAGCCTGGCTTCCAGAATGAAGGTAAAGTACACTGTGTATGATAGCAGTTGTCTTCTTGTTTGGTTTTGGTTTTGAAAATGGCATCAATTCCACAGCATTGAAGTTGTATCGGACTGCATGAGTACTCATGAAAAATCCTGCAACTAGGAAAGTACCTGTAATGTACAGTGTCCTCTCATGGGGCATTTGGGACATTAACTTAATGGACTTCCATGGATGAGATGTGGGGGTGCCTGAACTGCCATGCAAATTGGTCAGGAAGGCCTGGGAAACTTTGTATGGCTTCTTTCACTGCTGGAAATGTAGAATCATTCTTAAAAACATGACTTTTTGTTCAGAGAAAACTAAGCAATACTCTTAATTTCTTCTGCAATCCCATTACCTTTTTTTCCTCCAGAACGTGCTGTGCCAAAGCTTCAGGGATTACCAAGGTTGTGTCAGAATATTATGTAGCCTAGTAGCAGGCGTTTGTTCTGCCACAATCAGTTACTACTGTATTTGCAGGTTAAAGTGTAGGATACAATAAACATTTGTGTCTTGACCTTCTGGGACTTAGCTGTTCATTTTGGCTCTAGGACTGTTAACTTATTCTTGGACTTGCTGTTTTTAGTGCATTCCCTATTCTGTGTTGCTGAAGGACCTGGATATGAGGAATCTGAGGGAGTTGGAAGATCTGATTATTGAAGCAGTTTATACAGATATTATCCAGGGAAAGTTGGATCAACGAAACCAGGTGCTAGAGGTGGATTTTTGTATTGGCAGAGACATTCAGAAGAAGGACATCAGTAACATTGTCAAAACGCTCCAGGAATGGTAAGTGAGTCTCTCCACCTTCCTTGTACATAGCTTGTCCTATTTTTTTCTTATTCCTCAAAGTTTCAAGTGCTGGATCAATTTCACCATGTTCCATTAATCAGGAGTCTTATGTTGTAAGTAGGCACTTGGAGGAGGAGTCTATTGGGCAAGTTTTCCAAGATCCCATCTAGGGTTCGATTTGTGTTACATATCAAGCCAAACTATACTAGGTCTTGAGATTCTGCTCTCACTGTATGTAGTTTTTACATGGCAGAACCCTAGCAAGGAGTCAAGGCCTTTACAAACAGACGTTCCAAACTGGACTCATGGTCGTATGGAGGGAGCCACTCCCCTTTCTGCTGTTATACTTGATAAGGGAAACAGAACTGTCTGTTACTGTTCAGCCTTTTTCACTGTGATGAGAACTGCATGGGCTAATTCTAGAGAACCACAGTTCTTTGGAGGGGATGTCTCTTCAAGTTTGAAGTTTCAGATGCCTTTGTTTGCCTTTTCTTTGTTCCTGCAAATGCAGGCTGCATGCAACCGTGTTGGGACTGTGGTACTATCTTTTTGTACCTTTGCCAGGAAGCTGCTTCTCATCTTTTTGTGGGATTCCCTTCTCACCCAAATTCCCCTGTAGACTGTGGAGCTGTGGCAGGTTCTGAGCTGACTGGGAAGTGCTTCCTAGTTGCTGTGGTAATGAGTGCATGAAAAGTAATTAAACTGCTGGGAAAATATGCTGTCCTGAGGTGGGGGCAGGTTTTTTGCTTCTCTACTCCAATTCCCTCAATCCCCTCACGGCGGGAGGGCTCTGGCAGCTTCCAGGGCCTTACAGCATTGTTTGGAAGGTTAACAGTGAACCCACTGCCAATTTCTTTTCTGTCCTCTCCAGTTACGAGTTCTGTGTTGGAGGAGTGCTCTTGTCTTTTGAACACTTAACAGGCAGGGGGATTCTCTCAATCTGACTTTTTTGTTTAATTTTAAAATTTTACTTGCTTTTGAAAAATGCATTGCATCCCTGTTTAAGCAGTAATTCTGATTGAAAAGGAAGTTGAAAGTGCATTGAACCTGCACTTAGTTTTTGATGGGCAGGTAAGAGTAACATGGACTAGCTGAAGAATGCTGCAAAATACCTTGAGTAAACAGCAAAGCTTTTTCTTGCCAGCTTTTTGGAACTCTAATCTTTAAGCAGGAAGTATAAATTTAATAATCTCCTAAACTTTTAGGTGATCATGACTTTTCAGATTGCCAGATTGAGCTGCTCCAGAGAGGACTCGTAAACACTGACATTGTTTGTATCTTGCAGGTGCGATGGTTGTGAAGCGGTTCTTTTAGGAATTGAGCAGCAAGTACTTAGAGCCAACCAATACAAAGAGAACCATCACCGAACTCAACAGCAGGTAGAGATGGAGGTGGGTACAGAGTCACTTCATACTGGTCTATCCTTTTTGATAAATGTTTGTTTACTGAAGAAAATAAGCTGCTAACACCTGGTTAATGGTCATGGCTTCTCTGAAGTAGGCTAGCAATCATGCAAATCAGATGTGGTAGTTTGGGGTAGGAAGAAAACACATCTGCTTCTGTTTGCTAGTAACACCACAAACATCAAACTTGCCCACTCTGAGTAGGTTCGTACTTTTCTTTATAAATTTTTATAAATTTAGGCTAGGTGGCTGCACTAGCTGTGGTTTCCTGAATTGATTTGTTAGGAAAAGTGTGCTTTTAACACAGAGCTTTGATGCAATTCTGTTCCTTTTGTACAAGGCAGGAAGGAAAAAACAGTTCTTTTTGTTTTAAACCTGAAAGTGTAATTAATAAAATCTCTCGAGTCTCATTGCTTTTGCAAAAAGTGCTCTCAACAGCTTCCTTTGGGATCTTTCTCTTGGGGTCAAGTTGAGCACCCAGACAGGGCTTTGACATGCTGTCTTCAACAGCATGACCTGGGAGCGCTCCTGCCTCTGCTCCATATGCAGCTAGGCAGTAGATGGCAGCACGGGCACATGATTTTAGCCCCTGCTGATGTGTATTTACTTGTGAGAACAAATCTTGGCTAATACAGCTGTAAAGGTGAAAATGGTCCTCCCGAGACACTTGCTCAGGGTTTATTTCTTGCAGAGTGCTGCATCCCTGCAGGTTTATGTTTGCCTTCTGAAGCAGCATATGCTTGGCGGCTTGATTGGCATCCGTAGTGCATTTGGTTTGCCAGATGCCTTTGCCCTGGGTTGGCACACCTGACTCCTAAACTTGTTTTGGCCTGTGTTTTTTTGTTTTGTTTTGTTTTGTTTTGTTTTTAAGGTTTGCTCATTATATTTCTGGTGAGCCCTACAGGGTTCCAGGGGACAGAGTGTGGTGCCTGGTGCTGTATCTCTCCTTTTCAGCTAGAGTAGTAGAAGCTTTACTGCTGCCTCCCACAAAACCAATTTCTGTTCCTGCTTCTAGCAAATATCTGTGGCTCAGACAGCCAGCTAGGCCAAATGGCATTCTCCCTTTTCAAATGCTGTCCTAAGCGTAAGTTTGTTTTTTTCACAATCTCCTTTGTCCTTCCTGCTTCTGGCCAACGTAATGGTAGAATGGCTGCCCTCTGCACCAAGGCAGCAGTATGTCCCTGCAGCCAGCCAGAAAGGTGGTACAATATTGTGTCGTTGTCTCTTAGGAAAAAAAAACCAAAACAACAAAACAGTGATCTCTAGTTACTCCATATTGGACCCAGACTGGAAATATTAGCAACTCCTGGCTCTAACTGAGGATGAAACATTACCTTTAATAAACTCAAGTACAGAGCATGTTTCTGGTGGGAGAGTTTATTTCATAATCTCCACTCTATACTCCAGGGTTTTTTCAATGTGTTTATGGACAGAGTTTCTACTGCGAGGGGAGGAAGAAGCAGGTGCTGATTCACTGTCTCTTCTTGGCCAGGTCACAAACATAAAGAAAACATTAAAAGCTACAGCCTCGTCGTCGGCACAGGAGATGGAACAGCAGCTGGTAGAGCGAGAGTGCCCTCCACACACAGAACAAAGGCAGCCCACAAAGAAGATGTCCAAAGTCAAAGGGCTGGTCTCCAGCCGTCACTAGAACATACCATCTAAATGTCATTCAGCTAGGAATGACAACAGGAGGAGCAAAAAAGGGCCTGTGTCTCCTTTTTCAGTGGGTTCTGGGCCAGTCACTTCCAGGCTGGCAAATAAAAGCCCTGTTTGATTGCAGCTCCCAGTTAGCAGCACCTGGCTAAGTTACACTGTGCAGCCTCTATTAATTTCCAGGGTGTCCCTGTTCTGGCCCTGTAAAGAGGGACTTCTAAAGAGAGGGACTAATGAAAAGGGGCAGGAAAAAAAAAAAAAAAATCTGTGAACAGTTTTGCTCCCTCCCAGCCAGTCTCATTGCTGCTTAACCTTGAGGAAGCTGCTCTGCTATGCTGTACTAAATCAGATCCTGGGAGAACTTCTGTAGCAAGTGTCTGAATCCCAGGGTTGAAGTGTGGCTACCAAAGCCAGGCTGGGAGTGAGGAAGCCATCAACACAGATCTTTTCATTCCCAAAGGGACCGCAGAAAGGTTTCTAGGCCAGGAACTGCTTTACAAGGAAGTCTTCAGCCTTTCCACTACCCCTGTCTATTTTAAACTGGGGTGAAATTCACACTACCTCGCCCTGTGAAGATGAGATTCAGTGCTGGGCTGTTTACTTAACTGTTTGTTTACTGCCCTTACTAAGCCCTTTAATCTCTCACAGATTTAAAGCACTGTTCTGCATCTCTGAGGCATCAATACTATAAGGAGGAAGCAGGCTGCTCTTTCAAGCCTTCCTTCTTGCAGGTGGTTAGGGGCATACTAGAAACTGTGTTCCTTCTGAATGTGATGTGACCTCCCAGAGCTGCTTGTGAGTTGTTTCCCCTATTGATACCTTCAAAGGGTAATGCATTTGCTCTTCCTTGGATGCTAGCGACAGTGGTCTGCATGGGAGAAGAGCCCGTTTAGCATTGTGGCAGGCTAGTGGCCCAGGACCCACTGGCAGGGGTCGCAGCAGCATCCCCTTGCTGAAGCAATGGACTTGACTAGGCTTTCTGAATTTTGAACACTTTCAGGTTGTATTTTCCTCCCTTTTTTTGTACGTTGTTGTGATTCTAAAGCATTTCAGCCTTTGTTTTGTGTTTTTTATTTGTTACAGACTAACTTCAGGTGATTTGCACCTAGTTTGGCAAGGTGTGGGTTTTTTTTTTAGGGGGGAGGATGGGGTTGGCATTGAAACAGCAATTCACAAAAAAGCACATTTTAGAAAAAAATTAAAAATGCTGATTTAATGTCAGAGTGTGGAGTCTTGGCTTTGAGGCTGCTTTAGACTCGTAGTCCAACAGCACTTGTTCACTTGAGCATTTACTTGGTTCTTGATGTTATAGTATCAGAAGGTCTGACTAATCTCCCTGATGCAGTGGCGAGGCAGGGAAGTGCTCTTCCCATTTTGTCAGTAGTTTGTCCAAATTTGTGCAGAAGGATCTGTGGCAAAGCCAGTAGCTGAGCCCAATGTCCTGAGCCTGAAGATCTTTGATGCCTGATTGTGGAAGGTTTGTAGTTGTGCTCTGACTTAGGCCAATCAATTCCTTCCTCTAGGTCTAGCAGAGCACTGCTTTGTAGTTCAGCCCCTGCATTTCACTTCACTCCATGCTGTAAAGAGAAGGGCTTTCCATGAGCAGGCAGGAGAGCTGTTTAAGCAAAGGACTGTGACAATGCTCCAGTCCTGCAGCCAGCTGTCACCTGCACTTGCTTGTGCAATGCACGTGCCTTCCTCTTATTGCTACCAGAATTCTTTGCCATCTGTGTGTTTTTAGTCCTCAGTCACAGGACTTGTACACTTGTGAAAGTAAATTCCTCTCCTTTTCTTCTGCAGTGCAGGCACACCAGCTTCTAATCTTGGGAGGTGGATCTAAATACCTCCCATCCAGTTGCCTCTGGGTCAAGTCCCTTGGTTTCTGATTCTCTGCCAACTCTCTCTCCCCCTAGAAATGCTAGCCAAAAAATTCCTAGGGAAGGATGTTAAGTGAATAAACCCAGAGCACGAAGCCTTCCCCTATATCTTAAGGGAACTGTTTCTCAAGCAGTGGCAGTACTAGTTTCTGTACTAGCTTCTCCCAGTGTTTAGCTGACAGCTTCTCAGGAGGTGTAGGTCGACTTTTTGTGCCCAAGTCTAATAGATCTGTGTGATGGAAATGAACTAAGTCCGTTTCTGGCTTCCTGCGTGGACAGCTGCAGTGTACTGGTCATCCAGTTCTTCACTAGATTTGACTAGTGAGGAGGGGTTCTGTGGTCCTCACTAGCTGTTTTCTTTCCTTCCCATTTTTAGTATCAGTCCTGCAAAGAGACAGGAGGAATACAAATGCCATTGGAAGTCATTTTAGCTCCTCGGCAAGCCGCAGTCTGCTGGGGAAATAGATGTGAATTTGGCATCCTTGGTGTTTATTCCCTGCCAGTTACAGGAGTCACATTAGTTTGCTGAAGCTTCTTTAGTGTTGGAAGTTTCTGAGTTTGTTCTTACGTTTTTGCTGTTCTCAAAGCCTGGCTGGGGGTGAAGATCTTATTTATGCTTCGGTACACATTGCCTTTGATCAGCAAAGAAGCAAGGGAGGAAATAGCACTTTCAATAAAGAGCTGTCCCATGCTTGACAGCGACAGAGGACAGAGAAGGGAATGGGGTATTGGAGGGAACTGAGCTGTTTGCATGTTTGGCTTTCCTGGTGTGCCAGCAATGCGCTTGGTGCCGCAAAAGGAGGGGGGGTGTCTTTGCAATGAGCCCAGTCTGAGATGAGTCATTAACAAATGACATGCACAGAGTACCTGGGGGAGGCAAACAGCTCTGCAGCAGCTGGTTAATGAATCTGGCTTGAAGGAAAGAGTTAGAAGCTATTCCAGGAATGAAGCAGAAGGCATAGTTGTTAACAGGGAAGGATGCAGGAGGTGCTATGCTGTTTGAGAAGGACAACAGATAAAGACTGCATTGACTCCCTGTGAGTGCAGGGAGGGCAGCAGCTCGGAGCAGAGTTGTGTGAATTAGGGGCTGGTGGGGGCTAAATTGCGGAAAATTTCAAGTGGGAAGTGCCTGGGGAGCCTAACTGTGGGCAAGAGGGAGATGGAAGCAGAGGTGGATTTGATGCAAACTCCCATGTATTGCTTGTGCCTGCTGGAGGCAGCTACCGCCGTTTGTCTGAGCACTGCTGGACACTGCTCCCTGATGTGGGGAGAGCATCCTGCCCTACTTTGTTTTATGGCAGCAATGGGCTGCTCCAGCTGCAGCTCACTTCAAGATTGCAGCAGGACAGAGTTTGAGCTATTGAACTTCTGTTTGCAGCTTCCACCCGGAGGGAGACAAAGTAGATGGAGCTGCCTTCCCTCTGCTCTTCAGGGCTTTATTGTCTAGCTTCGTGTTCTGTAGCTCCACTTGTACTAGTGCTTGTTTAATATGGAATTGAGCACTGAGCTGGAAAATGGAAGAGAGGATCTCAGCTGATTGCAGTGCTGGTAGACTGCCCTAGCCCTAAAGCTGTGCCTCATGCTAACAAATGTCCCTGGCATTCCTGCTGTGACTCAGTTGATACCAGCTAACATCAGGCAATTCTGGAACATGATAAAGCAGTGCTGATGTCAATCTTTTTACAGAAAAAAGTTTTGGCTCAAAATCTATTGTTCTTTTATTTCCCTCCTCACCTCCTTAGATAAGTTGAATGCTAGCTTAGTCTTCTGTCGAGAGCAGGAGGGAAAATCAGTGATGCTGACAGACCCTTTTGTGTTCAGATTTGCGACCCATCCTGCAATCAGTCTTGTGCAGACTTCTGAAATCCCATGGGTGCTTGTGGAGCTGCATGCAGGCTTGCAGGTCTCTCTCCATGGATTGGCTACAGGAGTAGGACCTGCAGAGCTGCTCTCCAGGGTGAAGCTGGGGAAAGTGAAGCTTTTGTTCCCATAGAAGAGAGTGGTGGTAAGAGATGGCCATTTTCCCAGCAGCACTGCAAAGTGAATTTTGCTGAACAGCTTTCTCTTCCTGGAAGAATGGAAAATGATAAAGAATCCAGTGGGTGTCTTTGTGTTTGCTTGTAGTGTTCTGCTTATCCTATGAAGGGAAAATGCATTGGTCCTTGTGTGCAAAAAGGAAGTTGGGCTTACTCATTGCAGGGGAGGCAGAAGGAAGAGTGCCATCAGCTTTGATAACTGTATCAGAATGTAACAAATTGCATGGGTGCACCAGACTTTTCCTAAACTTTCAGTTCCGTACAGGTTTATAGGAGTGCATCTAAGCTGTTTAAAGAGGCCTCCGATTTTTAAAACCACATAAAGCCCACTTCCTGCTGGGGTAAAACAGTCAAAGCTTATGCATTCCTAGGTGTGTTGGTGCTGCTGTTTGTTACTTCAGTATCTGAGACTGTTGCAAACTTTGCAATGGGGAGAAATATTGCTCTTTGTTATTCTGAATAATGGGCAAATGGTGAAAGTAAAGAACCTGCCTCACAAGTATAAGGACCTAGCTAGCCATATCTGACACCTACTCCCATACGAAGTTTTCTGTTGGTTCCCTGCCCTGCCCCACTAAGTCCTTTATAGCATCTGACCTAATGCAAGGGAACCAAAACCTGAATCTCTCTAGTTTATTTTTTTGTTATCTGAGAGAGAGTAACCTAGGGGCATCAGGAAATGTAAATTAAAGTTTAGAGTGATCTCAGTTCCTACTTGTAACCTCAACCTTGTATTTTTATTATGGAATTTTAACCTGACAGTCTGATTGAATTTCTCGGCAGAGTTTTTAGAAATATGTCATTGTTTCACTCTGCTCCATGGCGAAGGTCGGTGTCTCTCAGGGACTGTTGACATTTTGCTGATATTCCATCAAGTTTGGCCCTACCACAGAGCTACCAGAGGTAAGTGATTGAAGATAGAGAGGTGTACTGTAAAGGAAGTGTATTTACCCCGTAGCCTGACTTGCTGTACCCTGCTTCTTAGTGGCACTGTGGTGGTACCTCCATCTCTGATTAGTGAACCAGGCAAAGGATTGGGCAGAGCAGCACTTTGCTCCCTGTCTTCAAATACACAGGCACACATGCTGCAGCTTCCCACAGTGTGTAGACCTCGTGAGATGCTCTGATGTATTTGCTACAGGCTACAAATTGCATGAGTGTGATAGCTGTGACCATGGCTTTTTCTCGTCAAGAAGACAAGATGTCCCTGCTCTAGTGAATGAGCATGCACACTGGAAATTCTAGGTAGTAATATGATGCCATAAGGTCATTTAACAGTCCTGAAATGTGTATTTCCCCACAGAGCGCAAAATAATTTGTGCCAGTAGTCCTTGCTTCAAGTAGTTGTAGTAGAAGATAGGACACCCTTCCACAGCTCCAGGTCTCCTATAGAAAGACTTGTGAATCTCAGTATCATTAGGGCATTTTTCAAATGCTTGTGCACACGCGATACCTCTGTGTTTCCAGAATAGCTGATTGTGGTGGGTGAGTGAAGCCTTGGTCCATCAGAGATTGGCCTTTTTGCCAGTATTTTGAGCTTCTCTGACTGTAGGGTTGTATCTTCATGGGTATGAAGTTTGGCAGTTGTGCTGTCTAGCCCTCCAGACTCTTCCTGAAGATGCTGTTTATCTCACCAACCCTAATGTTTCACTTACAGTCTCATGATCAGCACAGTCCTAAGGGTGCCTTGCACTGATGCAATAAGTAATGTCTTGGTGTTTCATTGTCACCTTCGCAGCTGTTAGAGAGCACCAGTTCCTACAGGATCACCCGCCAGCTGTGATGCTATTCCTTTTACATCACGACTGTGAGATGACACCTCTCCTTGCTGGCAGACAAGCCAGGTGGGTAGGCATTGCTCCTCAGAGCTGTTCTGCATCTAGGGAGGCGGAGGCTGTTGCCTGGTTTAGCATAATGGAAATCAAGGACAAGGACAGTGTTACAAATAAGGGGCAAAGCACAGAGCTCTGTTCTGTTCCAGCTCTGCTACAGCTGCAGAAAGCAACCTTGGGCAAATCAGCTCCTCAGCTGCATTTCCCAGGACAGCCTCTCTCTTGCATGCTGACTCTGTGACAGAGATCTGTAAAGTGCTTTGGTCTCCTGGCTGGGCAGAGGTTCATTGTTAATGGAATTGAAGATGCATGTATACAGGAGGAGGGGAATCTTAAAGCTTTTTAAGCTTTTCTAGAAGTCATCTTCCTCCTATGTACCATACCATTCTTTTCCCTGATGCAAATGAGGTGGTCCACTGTGGGAATATAGGCCTGGAGTATTATGGGTAATATACCAGGTTAATTATGGAGGGGGCAGGAAAAATAGCCTGTGCCGTTTTCAACAATATCAAAGGGATGCTACCTAATGATTTTCCTATTAGCTCTTTTCCCAGCCTGCCAGAGTCACTGCAGAAGTGTCATTTACAAAGGCAGTTTGCAACTCATTACCCTGGATTTTCACTGTAGTTCTGCTCCAGAGAGTGTGGGCTTTTGCTGTGTGCCCCAACCTAATGAATTGCCTGATTCCGTTAGTGCTGCCATCCCTTCTGACAAGGTTAGTTGCTGACTGACAGGAAGGTGCCTGAATTCAATTCCCTTCTTGTTTTCAACTTGCGCTTGTGTCAAGCGCAGGCTCCCTCTGGAAGCTGCCCTGTGATCCCTTCCCTTTGTTTTTCTGCATTCTGAGGGAAGCAGCCCATGCTTATAGAAGTCGTAGAGCAAGTGGCAGGGGCATGTGTGCTGCTGCCCCAGCACTCCCTGCTCAATGCCTGAAGTCCCTTTCCAGGTGGAAAATTCCACTGCTCTCCTGCTCTGGGGCTCTGGGCTTTTCTTTTTCGTTGTTGGTTTGGGATTTGCTGTCACCTGAGCTACGCTTTGTAACCTTTCAGCAATAAATACCTTGGGAAGGCTGCATTAATGGTACCAGGGAAGAACGTGCAATGTGGGCCGGGGGAACAGAACTGATTTCCCACACATTAAGAGGGCAGCTGTGTTCCTGTTGTGGGGGCTCCAAGGTCTACTCTGGCCTGTTTGGGCTTTGCAAGGCACTTGTACAACAGTGCTGGAGAAAGCTTTTGTTCTTTTTCACTAAAGAGCAGCGTGCTTTGTCAGGCTGGGGGCCTATGGCTCATCTCATGCTAGGAATAGCTCCTGGAGAGGAGAAATCAAGACTGTTCCTATGTCGTGTCACAAGTACTCCCACTTGGAAGCTGAATGTGGCTACTGCTCGTTCAGCTGGTAATGCAGAAAGCTTGTAGGTCCCATGGGTGCTAGTTTGACCTAAGTGTGGACAGAGGAGCTTGGGACTCCTGCTACCCTCGCTTCCAGGTGTGTGTATACACCTCTGTTAAATGCCATTCTCTGAGCCTGCTGTTGAGGTGTCAGATGCCACTCCCGTGAGGCTGCAGCTTGCATTCAGGACAGCTCTTGCTGTTCATTTATGCTGTCTCTGGGCTGGGATGTGGCAAGGGAGTGTTCCAGTGCCAGCCCTGGATGCTTTTACTGGATGTCATGAGGATTTGACCTAGCTGGCCCACAAGGGAGGCAGTGACGTGAGGTCAATTTGTTTATGCTGCACGTGATGCCTCCTCCCCTCTTAATTAGATTCCTGTGGCCCCTCTTTCCTGCTGGCCTTGTTTCCTACTGAGCCCTGTCAGGGAGACCCAATTGTGGCCTTATCAGGTGCTTGCTGTGCTCTAATGAGCCGTTTCCATTTCCCATTCTGGCCTGTCCATCGAACCGAGGAAGGTGCTTGTCAGCACTCTGAAAACTGACCTGTACTCACAATGCCACTCTCTGCCCATCAGATCCACCGGTCTGGCTGTGCCACGTGGATGCTAAGGTTGAGTGGATCTGAAAGTTTTCCCAAGTGCTCTTTCACCCCTGAGTGCTCTTGCACATCAGCTCACACCCCCGCCATGGGCACAGTGTTCCTGTCCTGCAGATGGGAGACCAGCATGCTGAGGGACAGGGTGACTTATCCCTGGTCAGAGCGGAAGCAGCAAAGCAAGGAGCCAAGCTGTTATCCTGTCCCTCTGCACAGGGAGCTCTTGCTCTGATCACTCTCCTTCTGCCAAACTGTGTCCTTTTGCAATGCAGCTTTGTCCTTTTCCTTGGGCTTGCTCTTTTCCAGGAAGCCCAGTGGACAGAAGGAACCCGTGCTGTGGGGCTGCGCTTTTCCCTTTGGACTACGCTGCAGAGGAGAAACGGGAATCCAGACCATACGCAACCCCAGGCTGTGATCTCTGGGATCTCCCCCAACCTAAACTCAGGTTGTGCCTCACTTTGGTGGTCATATTTTGTGGATTGAATTCCTGAGACTGAGTTCCCTCTGCTCTGTTGAGGAGAGACCCTCTGTCACCAGGCAGATGGTTTCATTCCAGCTCTGGCTTTGCAGCAAAAAGCCAAAACTGGAAGAGGAATTGGCCCCACCTTGGTCCCAGCCTGGTACTCTGTTGCAGTCACTACTCTGGCTTCATGCTCAAGGACCAGGACCCTGAGGGGGACCTGCATACCATCTTCTTACACCACTGTTCAGACCTGATGTGCAAGGTCTGCACAGTAAGTGATTCCGTATTGTCCCTTAGGTTTGCTGGGTGACAGTGGACAGTCCCCTCTAATGGGCATCTCTTTAGGAGCTCCTGGTACAGCCCCTCCTTCCCTCTAAAGGTGTGCAGAGCTGGTAGGGTGACCTTCATGGGTGTTATATTTGCCTCACAGAGCCCTGACAATGAGTTGTCATTACCTACAGACATCTCTGGAGGGTTCTAGCTGACCTTCAGTCAGGGCATGAGCTGCCAGCTGCCCGTCCTGCCTGCCTTCCTCCCAGCCCAGCCTCCCAGGGTCTTGATTTTGTTCCCCATAGGCAACGTCTTTCGTCGTCTGTCAGCTGCTGCTCCCCATCCAGCTGGACTCTGTGGGCACTGCGAGGTGGGTACCTCTCTGTGATGGAGGCTTTGCTCGTATGAGGCTAGAAATGTCACATGCGTGCTCCTAACCTGATTGACCTGTTGGGTGTCTGGATGAATCTACTTGTTCTGTAAACTTTAATGTTCTCTAATAGTTGGGGAGAGTCTGGATGGAGGTTTCTATGGTTTCCTGGTGGTTGCTACGGAAAAGGACCTCTCTGCCTCTAGGTCTTGGTGACTTTCTTTTTGCCCTATCCTAGGCACCGGAGCCCAGCAGAACATAATGCTTGTTGTTTCCCAGCCCACTACAATGGTCAGGGCATAATTTGTGACTCCCGTCACGGCTGGGCTGGGTGCCTGCCACTCTTTTTCCTTTTTCTTTTTTTTTTTTTTTTCTTCTTCTTCTAAGGCCTCTTTGAAGAATGAGACCAAAGAGCCTTCATGCAGGAGTTTGTGTGTTTGCTGCGCTTCCCACCCCCTCACTTGCTGTTTCCTTTAGAGCTCCAAGTCATTTTAACGATTTATTTCATGCACTTTACATAGCAAGAAGCTGTAGCAACAGCTGTGTCCGTGAATCCTTACCAGACAGCCCTCAGTATATTTTGGTCTGTCTATGTATTGTCCCAGGCACAGTTAAATAAATCTCTGCTGGAGGAAGGGACTTTACAGCTTAGCGGCAAAGGTTTGGCGAATGGGAATGTCAACAAGATACTTAGTGAGCTGCTGGATTCTAGAGTAACAGCACCTCTGGCATAAAGCTCTGCTTCCGTTAGTGCAGCTGGGGGCCAGATCCAGCATGGTCTTTTTCTTGCTGTCAGCAGGGACTGTGTCTCCCTACAGTGCCCAGTGATAAAGCTATAGTTACGGGACAAAATTTGGACCCAAACCTGCAGACTGGAAGTGGTTAAAATGTGTCTAGGCCAAATGCTGTTCTTGTTGCGCTGCTATCAGTCTGGATCTAGGCTATTGAACATGATGGGCTTATTTCCACTGGTGCTGTTCAGGATCTGGGCATAAATGAGTTGCCCGAGGCCACGTGCTCTCTCAGGGAGCTCAGCTGTGTTCTGCAAAGGCTTGCAGCTGCATGCAGCACCAGGCAGGATTTGGTCTGTCAGAGCATCACAGGATTGGGTGCAAGTTTACTTTTGCATATGGGATCAAAGCTTAAAATATCGGCTGGCCTTTCTCTCGCTCCTGACTTTTCTAAAACATCTGAACAATTTCTTCTTTAACTCTGTTAAAATCAATCAATCTGACATTTAAATTGTATGTGAATTTGATAAATAAAGACAGGTTACAAAATGCCACATGGAATGATTTTTTTTTTAAGTTTTTCAACTACTTAGGACAAAAAATGTTACAATGCTTGACTTTTCATTTAGTTACATAAATAATTTTTTTATAAATATCTCTTTATAAACAATATATAAATAGCTTTACAACATAAATACATTTATGCATGACATGAATTTACAAACAGCAACGTTATACAGCTGGCTTCATCAGTCTCTTGGAAAAAGCACTGTCCCTTGTCTTGGTGAGTGTTTGTATATATAATATATATAAGATAGAGAGCGCTTTTTTAAAAAATAACAAAACCAAAACAGCTGGTGCCATGACTCCTCGTACCAAAAAGAAAAACACAGCCACATCTTTTGTCCATTCCAGGGGGGGTCTCTGCTTTTGTAGGCGTTGCCTGGGGGATGGCCCTGCCTGGCCACGGTAGGAGAAAATGGACTATGGATTCAAAGCCCTGCGAGGAATGAGAACAAAGTGCCTGTTAGTTCTTGCCATACAACACCCTTACCCGTCCCAAGATGAAACCCCTGTGAGAATAATCCTAGCATGGGGCCAGGGGATGCTGAAGTCAACAGAAGACGTTTCAGCTTTTTTGCTCAAGCTGAAGCTCACTCTTTGCTTTCTGGCTATTTGGTATTTAGGGGAGAGGCTGAGGGAAGCATGCTGTTCCTCCTGGCCCAGGGTCTAGCAGAGATCTCTTTTTTTTCTGATGAGAATTTAACAAGAGAGGATGGGTGCGAGCTGGCTGCACAGTGTGCGTGTGCTTCTTAGAGCCCTGAGTCGGGTGATTCCTTGGGAGTACTGAGGAGCCACTACACGAGGGAGCAGAGGAGCAGCACCCATCCCTCCAGGCAGGGCCATGGACCAGCGCTGGCGTCCTGTGGGCACCGTTGGGCCCTGCTCTTCCCATTGCTTTGCAGAGCAGCAGGATGCCTGGATCTGGTCCCCTCTGTGCCTGATTGTGTTACTGCAGGGTCAAGGCATGTCCCTGTGGGTGTGGCAGTGCCATGCCGTGGGGAGAAGAGTGAGTGGCCTGGGCTGCAGTGGGCAAGCGCTTCCCCAGGTGTGAGTTCATCTGCCTGTGACCTGCTGGCAGGGACCAGGCCAGACTGGTGCCTCGCTGCCTGGCTTCCCCCCATCACCTTTGGGAAGAGCTGGCAGGGGAGGAGCTGCCGTGTTCCTCCTAAACTGGTCACTGCAGGGAAATGATGCTTCTTGCCCACTGGCCCCTAAGCACAGTGGCTGTGGAGTGCTGTGGGAAGAACTTGTCCCAGCGTCCCGTAACTTGCTCAGATGTAAAGTCTGAGTCAGGAAAGTGCTACCCTTGGCTGTCACCACAACTAGGAGACACCTGGGGCACGTGTGTATTGTTTTTCCTTAAATTAAGGGAACTGGAGCATGGCTGAGACAGGTGCCTCACTAATCGTCCCATCACAGGCGAGTAGGGGGTACCCTGCCCTCCTAACACGTGTCCATAGGTCACCTGTGTCTGTCAAGCACAGGGAGCAACTGGGAATGTATGGCTGCACTGGAGCTCCTTCCGCATCCTCCTCGGAGCCTGTGGGTCTAGCTCACGCAGAAAGGGGAATCTAGCCTGAGCTGCTGCGGGAGCGCTGAACTACGGCCGGGGTCTCTGACCCTTCTGCAGAGGCAGGCAAGCCGGGCAGCAGGAGGGTTGTTGGAAGGGTGGGAGCGCAACCGAGGCCGACTTCGGGGTCCTCCTCTCTACCCACCAGCAACGCCGGGGTCTGCAGGCGGCTCAGCGGGCTGACTACATGCAACCCTACCCGCTGGCATCTCGCGTACGGCGGAGCGGCGCATCCTTCCCCGAGCGCCCCGCAGCATCCACCCACCCACCCACCGTCCCGTCCCGTCCCGTCCGTGCGCTCACCGCCAGGGGTCCCTCAGCAGCCGAGGCCGCTC